AGTACCACTAGGAATTTTAACTGATTGGTTTGGAGCGCGTCCTTTATGAGAGCACATTGCACGCGTGCGCACTTTTCGTTGCGTCATTCCTACCTATTATTGTAATTTGYATTTTATAAAAGAAATAAAAAACTTGCTTGCTGTGCTGTGTGGAGTTATAAAGSACTTGGGGATTGGCAGAACACTCGAGAAGTGTCCAGAAGCACTCCGCTACGCGTCGTGCTTCTCCTAACACTTCTCTCTTGTTCTGCCAACCCCCACGTGCTTTATGACAGCACACAGCACGCGCGCGCGTTTTCTATTTCTTCAATAAAGAAACAGTCGATGACGTCATATTCTTTAACCTGACGTCACAATCATAGCCAGACTGACACCGACATGCATGACATTTTTCACCGATTTTTTTTGCTTTTTTCATCAGTTTTTCGTCGTCATAAAAAGGGGGGAATAATTAGGATAAATCTTGTAAGAATTARTCAAGAATTTTATATTCGTCAGGACCACAAAAAGGCCCCGATGGGAAAGTCGCTCAATCGGCTGAGCATCGCTTGCTACAAGATATCATTTACTCCTCGTCATACGACCGCGAGGTCCGACCGGTCCTTCTCCAAAAGGACCAGCTGAAGATTTTCTTCCAGCTGAAGCTGGTACAGCTCGTTGAAGTGGTACGTTTGATAGAATCATTTTGCTGCACCACTTATGTCACTCTCGATTATAACTCTCCCCGTTCCCCTCCCCCTCCCCATCCCCGTCCCTGTGCCTCCTTCTCCTCCGTTGCTCTTACTTTGACACTCTTTCGTCTTCCAGTCTTCCAGAGAGGAAACAGTTCGACTCAACGTCTGGACAACTCAGGTAGGCAAAAACCATTCTATTTCAGATTCGATGACTGTGAAAAACGTATGGTAAGATACGTGACAGTGCCGAGCGTTTTGATTGGCTCCGAACCAATTTTACACTTTATTTCGTCCTCCAATAGACCTATCCAGAATTCGCTTGACTGRTCACGAARCAACTGTTTCAARTCGAGGTTGAACTTGATGAATAAAAGAAYGAAGTTCAGTCTCGACTTCAAACCATTGTTTCGTGGTCAGTCAAGCGAATTCGGGATAGGTCTATTATACGCAAACATTTGATAACAGTTGATTGTATTTCGACGTAATTTGTATTTTTCCTCTTTATCTAAAGTGGGTTACCTGTGGTGTGGCTTTAATTGTTTGATTTTTTAGCAATGGACTGATCCGTTCTTAAGATGGAAGCCAGAAGAGTATGACGGGATAGACACAATCAACGTTGAACCGCACATGATATGGCTTCCGATCGTCATCTTGTTCAACAAGTGAGTTAMTGAAACACGAATAATACACGTGATTAAGAAAACTCACTTCCGCTTGGTTGGCATTGTGTTCTAGGTTCCAGGCCTCTTATCTCTCGAAACCAAACGGTCGAAAAAACAAGATGGGGGTCGTTTTTACAATTGTATTGATTCCACGCCTTTTTCTAAGCAAACTACCTCGTCCTCATCCTCGGGAACCCAGAGTTAAATTTCTGTCGGAGCGAAAACATTTTACTCTTGGGTTACCGAGGATCTCTCGTCCTCTTTCTCTTCCAGCAGTCAATGGCCTTCATTTAAAATACGTGATATTTCGCACCGCCCTGATATTGGAAGTTTATTTTCTCTAMAAATTTGATGAACGACAACATTTGTTACAAATAATCTTTCTTCAAATATCCTGACCTTAATAATTTTCTTTTTCTTCCAAAGAAACCAAAACAAAATCTTTTGTTTACGTTAACCAACAATTGGCATACCGATTTAGAGCAGGCGTTTTCACTCGTGTCCACCCAACCAATATGTCATGGCAATAAATTTATGRTCAATCAATATTGATTATTACCTTTTTTTCATCTTTTATTAGCGCTGGAAGTGGTTTTTCAGGAGGTTTAGAGAAGTACAAAACCAARGTCGTGATCAACAAGGACGGCACAGTCAAGTGGTTTTCTGCAACACAGTTTTTATCGGCGTGTAAAATCAACATTCGTTACTTTCCATTTGATGAGCAATACTGCTATATGACATTCGGGTAAGAAACGTAAGGGACATCGTGATGTGAATCTGTGACCTTAACGTCAACGTGATAAGGGACCGGTCATTATTTAAGTCGGAGAGGGGGGGGGGAAAGAGAAAATGTTTTTGATGCAAAAAATTTTCCAGACTCCTACCTCTAATAGCATTGATGTTTTTCGGGTACCCCCCTTCAATCGTTTAAAAAATCCTCTTAATCCTCCCAATCCTCCTTTTGACCTTTGAATGTTCCCCTTGCTCTAATAGAAAAAATTGGAGGGTATCCCATTTTCTCCTCCACCTCCCCTCCGACTTAAATATTGACCGGTTCCTAATTGAACTAAGAATATAGTGATGTTAGTGTTAGAGTAATGGCTTCCATTGATATTAACAGCACAAGATAAACATCGATCACCTTTACCCATAAAAGAAAGACAATCACACAAAACTCTCTATATCCCCCCCCCCCCCTCCCATGCACGCCGTTTTTGTTTTGTTTTGTCTTCTCGAAAGCCAAGATGCCCGCCATTGCAATCATTGCTCGTACTAAAAGGATACTAATCAAACATTTTTACCTCTCCAGGTCGTGGACCTACAGCACGAAGCAATTGGACATGTTGACAAACCAAATACAGGCAGACATGTCATCGTACATCGTGAACGGTGAATGGGACGTGATTGAGGTGCCGGTCAAGGAGAACAAAGTACAATACCCGTGCTGTGAGGACACCTTCTCTGACATCACCTACACGATCCACCTGAGACGAAAAGTCGCGTACTACGTGTTTAACTTGATCATTCCATCGATGATGATTGTAGTGTTTGCCCTGGTTGGGTTCTGTTTGCCTCCAGAGTCAGGCGAGAGGATTGCCCTTAACATAACCGTCCTCTTATCCATTACTGTGTTCCTCAACATCGTRTCCAATACCCTTCCAGCAACCTCCGACAGCATTCCGTTGCTAGGATAYTTCTATCTGATGATCATGATCGAGCTGTGTTCAGCTATCATCGTCAGTACTATTGTCCTGCGATTTTACTACTTCGGGCATGTGCGCATGCCTGAAAAGTTACGCATTGTAATTAATGAGTGGATTGCTTCGATGCTGTTCTTCTTCATCACGGAAAAGCCTAAAGACAAGGGGATTTACCAGTGCATGGCAGCGCAAGCCAGCTCCGAACGCATTTGTAAATGGATGCCCCAACATTCGCATACTACGCAGTCGTATGTGGTAACGAAAGACGAACATCTTGAAGATAGGGCCTCGCTGATTGAATGTAATACACCTAATGTTAGGAGGAACCACAATCCACCAATACAGGCAAGTCCGAAGTATAACTAACAAAGATTTTTTTATTTTTAGGACCAAAACACCATTAGTCATTTCTTCGAACAACAACGAAAGAGAAACCTTATACTATTTACTAGCATGGAAGGGTGTAYCCCAAGGATCACGACTTGGGCCAAATTTTCAAGCCATATTTTTCGATACAGCGAAGTATCACAGCAAATGAATATTGAATGGTTGCACACTTTCAAGCTATAGCCTCCTTATATGGTATACTGATTTACTAGAATAGGAAGATGTTCCCCCCTGCTCGTCAATCGGACCCCTGTCATGATAAACGGTCTTTGAAAAATTAATGAAGCAAAATAATTGTCATCGCTAATTACCACCGCAAAGTACAGCAGTGTCGCAGCTTAACGGGGTCGAAAAGGAGCTTATTGTTGAATGTATTGTTTTGCTCTTTCGTTTTACAGGCTCTACCAGGCATGATAAAATGCCGCAGCGAGCCMGCCATCAATTCCCTTGGAATGCCAACAAACACGAAAATACACCAACGAAGAAAGACGTCTTGCTTTCCAAGGAAAAGTAACATAAACGACGTGATCCAAAGAAAGATCGCTGAAGGCCTTGAGGTTCTCACAAAACGAGTCAAAGATGAAGGAGAGAAGGATGAATGCATCCAGGAATGGCAGTTTGCAGCGACTGTCTTGGACAGGCTGTGCTTTGCTATTTTCCTTGTTACTATGTGCATCCCTGTCTTGTTCTTCTTCTTCTATTCTCCTGAAAGTCAACCAGAATTCGAATCATGACCATACAAGAACGTTAATCAACGTCTTTTCGGATTCCTTCAAGTTTTCTGTGGAACGAAGCCTTACTTCTTGCCCGAATTTAAAGATGGCTCTRGCCGCCATGTTGAAAAGGACTGAATCTTGCTAAAGAAACTTCAATGAAAACAGGATCCAAAATTCTCTCCGTTAGAAATATCGTTTTGGGATTTTTATGGAACTTTATTTCTTTTGCCGTAAACTCATTATAAGAAACTTTAGCAGATTTCCTTCGAATGCTGAAGSTAGTGTACCTGGTTACATGATCGTGCTTTAAATTACCTTGCACGAAGCGGTTTAAAACKTTTTGAAATTCGAAAAAGCCAACAGGGGCGGATTTAGGTGCGGCCCCTCGTAGTTTAGAATGCATCTTTTTATTTTTAACTTTTTCTGTCTAAAATATCTCCAGAACGCAAAAAATGGAATTCTTGAGAGCACGAATCCAGACCTTCAATGTTTCCGTTTTGCAAAGACATTCGTCTAACGTCGAATTTTAATGGCCACMTTTTTCAGTTTCCCCGTTGCGCGCAGTAACGGCTTAGAAGCCAATCCTTGATATTATGTGAACTTGACAAGACAAATGCTTTATCTGTAGGTTTTTCTGCAGATAATACCAGTTCATTCAAGGTTATAATGGAGATTGAAATACGTTAAAATAGGATWTTCAACTTTTAAAATAATATTCCATTATAAATTTCCATACATTGTTAGAATAGCCTGCTTACATGCAGATTCTATTCGAACGCGAGAATAGTMTTGAAGCCGCTTCTTTAACCAGTGCTTCAGGTTTACTCTTTCAAAAGTGTATGAAATACAAATTTTGATACTTTGAAATAATGTTTAATTGACTTTATTACAAGTTATTATGGTTTAAAATATGTATAAATAAA